TCACGTGTCTTCATAAAAAAAAAAAGTTAAACTAATTAAATAAGTCTGACTATAATTTTTGTTCCCAGTTCATCCAGTTTGTCATTATAAGGGAGTTACTCCCTTATAGTCCCTTATAAGGGAGGAGCTCCAGATTTATAAATACAGTTTTATAATAAGATTCTATTTTGTATTTATTTTGATTCCTTACTAATATCCAGGCTAAGAATTAAAAGCTTAACTTAAAAGATTAAGTAAATATATATATTTTTTAATGATCAGTTATGGTAGGTTCCACTTTTGGACAATCGTCAATAGTTTTGACTGAGGGGGGAGCTCATTGTAAGACAAAATGCTCAAAGGGAAACACAAGTCAAACAAAGTTGGGGAAACACAGGTCTAAGGTAAAGTCTGTCAAAAACGGAAAAAACTACAATTTACATTTCACTTTTTTCAAAATTCTGAAGTAAAAAAAAAGTTATTGTGCTTTCATTTACATTTAATAAATTTCTCTTTTCTGCAAAAGAATTCCTGACCAGGTTTAAGCCTTATAGGTAATGAAACTGCTGCACCCATTTTGTATGGCAGTCTATAGGCCAGAAAAAGCATTAGGCTTAGATTTTTGTATTGGCAATGGTATAACAGACCATTATCTACAAATTTTTATGTTTACATATGTTAAAATGATCAAGTTCTTGCATTAATATTTGCGTCTATCAGAAAAATACATACATCATCACTTTGTATTAAAAAGCCCTAAACACCATGCAGCCAAAGAAAGTTTTTAAAGCAGGGATGTCAAAGTCAAATACACCGAGGACCAAAAAAACTAAATTTCTACAAGACGAGGGCCGGACTGGTTAGATGTTTATTAAAACATATTGAAATGAACATAGCCTATTGAACCAAGACCTAACACATTTTTAAAACAAAATATTAATATCAATATTATTAATAAACTTATTAAGATAAATACATAAACTGAAAATGCATTACTGTGCTGCTCTATTATCCAACCGATCACTGCTTTCAGAAAACAAGGGAAAATATGATTGTGTCTTTTTTTTATTAAAATTTTTTGGCTGTATTTTGCATGTTTGTTGTTTTGGTTTTTGATTACCCCCCTTTAACAATTCACTGGGCTGAAGCTGGTTGTCTAAGGAGGCGGAGGGCTGCTGCGCCCAGGTGTCAGCAGAGGCTGATTAAAGCCAAAATTAAAGGAGCCTGGATGGAATGAGAGGGGAGCTGATCCTGCAGATGATAAAGACAGACACGCTGCAGAGTTAGGGGCAGGTGGGATTGGCATGCCAGATACAGAATACAGGGAGGAGAACAGACAGCACAGTCAGGGCAGAGGTCAGCCCCTGTAAGTAGCGGACCATCTCGATCGTATCGGTAGGAAATACGTCATGGTGTCTTGATGCGGAGATGCTGCCGTTTTCCTGCATCTTTCTTTTAGCTAGATCGGTCTGAAAAGTGGTCACAATCATGTTTTCTCCTGGGAATGTATTGTTGGTGCGTGCAACACAACCGCACCAATACTACAATCCCCACAATGCAACGGTACCCCACGAAGTCACCGCAGCGCGCACAAGCCGCAGTGGCCTGTGCGCCGGCTCCAATGTATTAAATACAATCTAGGGGGCCATGGATAAACAATTCCCGCATCTGGATCACGGTCATTTAAACTGTCAGTTTCAGCTGCTAAGATGATTTTTAGTCTCTTAGAGATTCCCCCCCCCCCCAAAAAAAAAAGAAAAGAAGCAAAATATTAAATTTGACCAGGCGAAATTGTGACAAGTAAAGTAGTTATTACAAAGCCGCTTCAAACTAACAATTGGGCTCAATGTCTTAGCCAATCCTCAATGAGGCTTTGCTACAAAACAGAACACATAAATTATTTTAATAGTTATTAAAGGAATGGTACACCCAAAACATGATTAGCCTTCATTTTCTACTCACCCCCATGCTGAACAACACTCTGGAGTACTTTTTTG